ATCAACAGAAGTGGCTCATACGTTTTGTTTGAATCAAGCATCAGCCTTTCATTTTTACGTTTAGCTTGTCACCTCTTTCTTCAAGTGGCGTATTTCTCGCAATGTCTCTTGTCAACGATCAAATAACAAATAAACTCGAAAACCGACGTATATACACGAACTCGCACCATTAGCGGCCTTACGCTGTTCTTCTATTAAGTACAACTGCGTTGCATGTACCTACCACATAGAAGCACGGTGTAAAATGCTGAGCCTGTGTTGACTACGACATCAACCTGGTTGCGTTGTCATACTTTACAAATAATTTTGTTTTCCGATGACCCCCATCAATTCGTTATTTTCCTCTCATTTTTCTTACATGCATGGCTAACAATAATCATCATCAGTTTGCATATCGAGTGTCGATAAAATACGGGTGATATCGTTCTACTGGTAGCTGGATTGTAATCGAGGACTTAATTTTCGTCGAAATACTCGCGCATGGCCCGCGAACTTAGATTTGAGCTCTAAAAGAGGCTTCAAACACTAGTCAAAATAAAATTTGTTCTGAGACAAATTGCAATTCAGATAGGTGAAAAGCCATGATGATGGTGAAACAGCGATACCACGACATCGTATTTTGTGGTATGGCAGCTTTCTGTAAAGTCGCACGACCTCGAGGGAAGATTGGTTTCTGTACGTTTGTCGTGGATCGATTTTTATATAATATTATCGGTTAATGCATCTCGGTACATTTAAAAAAAAAAATCCCAAACTTTGTAACTACAGGTTCCTGCCTATAACTCGTAGCCGGATAGGAGCCACTGTTTCCGAAAAATTAAGTTATAAAAAGTAATAAAATTCCGCTCACGTCCATGAAAAAAAGTGGCCGGTGATGGCAAGTATATGAAAGCGAAGAAGAGCCCCCCCCCTCCCTTCCATAGGGGAAAAAAATCTCTAACAATGAGACCCACGCTTTTTACAACAGAAGAGAGTTTACATCCAAAATAATCCTTCTCCACTGAAAAAAAAAAATATCGGTGTATTTACTAAGAAAAGGGTAAAATTACCAAGAATTCAGGGTTCTATTTGATCCAAGTTTTTTCTTGGTAAAATTACCATTTATGGAATTGGTAATTTTACCGAGAAATCTCGGTAAAATTATTGAAATTTCTCGGTAATTTTACTGGACCTTGGTACAAACGCCAATATTTTTTATCGACTGTGGTAGAATTACCGAGATAAAATGGCAAAGTTACCGGGAATTGATTACCAATAAAAGTGGAATTCTTACCTGAAAAAAACAGTAAAAATACCGGTTTTTAGGTAAGCTTACCAGTCTGTTTTGGTAAAATTACGAATAATTGGTAAAAAAGTGAGGTGGTAAAGGTACCAATGGACCTTGGTAAAAACGCCGAGAATTTTTTTTCAGTGCACCGCCACCGTCACCGGAGAGGTTTCGCCGAACGGTGAAGCAACTTTCGACGGAAATTTTTAGTAAATTCTTACAATCTGACAATGACGTTCCATGTTGACGAGTCGAGGAAAAAAACTACCGAGTGCGTTTTGCGCACGGCCCAAAATTTTCTCCACTTTCATCTCGAAAAAAAAGGGGGAAAATCCTACTCGTCAGCGCGGGGCTTATCGACGATAGCAATGACATTTCGACTTTTTCCAGACCGAGGTGGGCTCTTTCTCTGTTCGCCAAAGGAGTCTAGTGTCAGGGACCGGGAGGCGAACTTTTAGGCGGGAAGAGTGCCTCCGGAGCTTTGAATTATCTCCACGCCCCCGTCCAAGATTACCGTTTTATCTCGCGCCGAAAACTACCGAAACGTGAGCCGGTCCCGTCCACACTCGTTTGGTTTCGTGATTGGCGCCAGGTGAGCGTGCCGCCCGAATTCTCACGTGGATTCGTCATTTGATCGGGTTCCAACCGCTTCCGTCATCAGGTAATCCAGTATTGTTCGCACTCATTCATTTTGTCGGTATCGATGGCTTAAGTATACGAGGTCTGTTAGATTAGAAACCGGATTTTGGTCATAACTAGCCCACAATGCGTCCGAATTGCGTTTTCTTGAGCTTTTCTGATAGCTGAAAATATATTTAAGAACGCTACGATCACAAATTTGAAAAATCCTAATTAGCTTCGTTGGTATGTGGCT